TCTCTCTCTCTCTCTCTCTCTCTCTCTCTCTCTCTCTCTCTCTCTCTCTCTCTCTTTCGCAAAGTGGGTTCATAGGGGGCAAAAAAATTTAGGGGTCCGGTCCTTGGCAAAACTGCGGACTACCTACAGCTAGCTCTGGAACCGGGACTTTTGGAAAAAGGAAGGACCGGTCCTCGGGTGGAAGTGGACCCCAAAAAGAAGTGGGGGGCGTTGGACCAGACCCCGAGTAGAAGCGGACCCCCCAAAAAAGTGAGGGGATATAAACTGCAAAAGGGCCCGCAGGCCCAAGCATTGAGCCCCGTCTTCTCAAAACAGGGAGGTCAGGCACAACGAAATAGGCGTTTTGCAAGAGGCAACTTTGACGATTTTCTGTGCTCGAACGAACATGCACAAAACTCTGAAATTTTGAGAATCCATAGATGAGGTCGTGTTCTTTCCATAAATAATAATAGAACATTTCAAAAAAATCATTTACACTGCGAAATAATCGTCACACCGATTCGACACATTTTTCATTTTTGCCACTCAGCCATGCCTGGGCCAATAAATTAAAAAAAATCATTCCAACTGCAAAATAGATTGCGGCCGCAATTTGACTCATATTCGCAGCCGTTAGGATGCGGTATAGTGGGCTTCTTCGTCTGTGTCAAGGTGTCGCATTTTTGGAGGCGAGCGACCAAGACGCAAAGTAGGTTCTTAGGAGGCAAAAAAAATTGGGGGACCGGTCCTTGGCAAAACTGCGGACTACCTACAACTAACTCTGCTAGAACCGTGACTTTTGGAAAAAGGAAGGACCGGGACCCCAAAAAGAAGTGGGGGGTGTTGGGTCGGACCCCGGGTAGAAGCGGACCCCAAAAAGAAGTGAGGGCATGTGAACTTCAAAAGGGCCCTCAGGCCCAGGCATTGAGCCCCGTCTTCTCAAAACATGGAGGTCAGGCACAACGAAATAGGCGTTTTGCAAGAGGCAACTTTGGCGATTTTCTGTGCTCGAACGAACATGTACACAAATCTGAAATTTTGAGAATCCATAGATGAGGCCGTGTTCTTTCCAGAAATAATAATAGAACATTTAAAAAAAATTGTTTACACCGCGAAATAATCGTCGCACCGATTCGGCGCATTTTTCATTTTTGCCACTTTGCCATGCCTGGGTCAATAAAAAAAAATAAATCATTCCAACTGCAAAATAGATCGCAGCCGCAATTCGACCCATATTTAATTTTGCCATTCAGTCTCTCTCAGAGTCTCTCTCTCTCTCTCTCTCTCTCTTTCTCTCTCTCTCTCTCTCTCTCTTGCGTGCACGCGCGTAGCAACAAACGGAACAAAACTCTCTCTCTCTCTCTCTCTCTCTCTCTCTCTCTCTCTCTCTCTCTCTCTCT